GAGCCTCCCGCTGTGCTGGCCCAGTTCCAGGAGACCAGCAAAGTCATCTTTTGCAGGTAAATCCTACGGGATCCCTTTCTAGCTCTCCGTAATCCCGTGTTTTCACAACCTTAGTGACGATAAGATGGGTGGACTTCAACTCCCAGAATTCCTCAGCCTGTATCCTTTCAGGTGAATGCCAGCCCTCTTAAAGCAGGCCGGCTGGAGGATTCTGGGAGTTGAAGTCCTCCCCTCTTAAAGCATGCCAGCTGGGGGATTCTGGGAGTTGAAGTCCTCCCCTCTTAAAGCATTTGAAGTTATCGACCGTCTCAATTTCGATCGGGGGGGGGGGCACGGTCTTAAAAAGAAAGTCCCCAGTACAGGGCTAGGCCATCTTGGCTTTTTCATGACTGGTGGATTTCAACTCCCAGAATTCCTGAGCCAGCCTGGCTCAGCTTGGAAATCTCTCCCTTTCCCCTCAGCGTGGCTGGCTCAGGAATTCTGGGAGTTGAAGTCCACGAGTCATAAAAGAGCCAAGGTTGCCTATTCCTGATATAGGGTGCCATGCTGGCAGAGGAATTCTGGGATTTGAAGTCCCCTCATCTTCCTAGTAAGTCAGGGGTAGGCCACCTTGGCTTTTATGACTCGTGGACTTCAACTCCCAGAATTCCTGAGGCAGCCTGGCTCAGCTTGGAAACCTCTCCCTTTACCCTCAGCATGGCTGGCTCAGGAATTCTGGGAGTTGAAGTCCACGAGTCATAAAAGAGCCGAGGTGGCCTACCCCTGGCTTAGTCCCTTTCGGGAGGGCCGCTGCCACTTTGGAACGGTCACTAATTGAACCGTCGTAAATCGAGGAGGACTTGTAACACACACACACACACACACACGTCTTGTGGTTGTGTTGCTAACAGGTGGCGAGCGAGGCAGCTGGTCACCAACATCCCTCCGTCGGAGATGGGCCAGATCAAGGCCAAAGTGGCCGCCTACGATGTCCTGCAAGGCCGGCGGACAAACTGGGGCTGTTGTCGCAACTGGAGACAAAACTATTTGGCCTCGGTAGGTGCTTCGTTAAAAAAGTCACACAATCACACAATTCTTTCGTCCCGTCCACATTTGCCTCTGTTGGGGGGAAAAAAAATCGAAATTAAGACGCTCGGCAACCGACTCGTATTTATGACGGTCACAGCGTCCCGGGGTGATCAAAATCCAGACGCTTGGCAACCGACTCGTATTTATGACGGTCGCAGCGTCCCGGGGTCACCAGATTAAAATTCAGATGCTGGGCAACCGATTCATATTTATGACGGTTGCAGCGTCCCAGGGTCACGTGATCGAAATCCAGATGCTCGGCAACCGACTCGTATTTACGACGGTCGCAGCGTCCTGGGGTCACATGATCAAAATTCAGACGTTTGTCAACCGACTCGTATTTATGACGGTTGCAGTGTCCTGGGGTGATGTGATCAAAATTCATACACCCGGCAACTAACTCGTATTTATGACGGTCGCAAAGCTCCCTTCCCCAATTTCTCCCTTAGCGACCGAAATTCTGGCGTCTGTTGTCGTAATTCGAGGATTAAAGCTGTAGAATGCCAGAGAATAATAATAATAGTAATAATAGTAATAATAATAGTAACAGTAATAATAGTAATAGTAGTAGTAGTAATAATAATAATAATAATAATAATAATAATAATAATAATAATAATAATAATAATAATAATAATAAAGTTGGAAGGGGCCTTGGAGGTCATCTAGGCCAACCCCCTGCTCAGGCAGGAAACCCTAAACCGTTTCAGACAAATGGCTGTCCAGTCTCATCATCATCATCATCATAATAATAATAATAACAACAACAATAACAACAATAATAATAATAATAGTTGGAATGGACCTTGGAGAACATCTAGTCCAACCCCCTGCTCAGGCAGGAAACCTATACCATTTCAGACAAATGGCTGTCCAGTCTAATAATAATAATAATAATAATAATAATAATAATAATAATAATAATAATAATAATAATAATAATAATAATAACAACAACAACAATAACAATAACAATAACAACAACAAAACAACAACAACAACAACAATAATAATAATAATAATAATAATAATAATAATAATAATAATAATAATAATAATAATAATAATAAAGTTGGAAGGGGCCTTGGAGGTCATCTAGTCCAACCCCCTGCTCAGGCAGGAAACCCTATAATAATAATAAAGTTGGAAGGGACCTTGGAGGTCATCTAGTCCAACCCCCTGCTCAGGCAGGAAATGACTGTCCCGTCTCTTGGTGAAAACCTCCAGTGTTGGGACACTCCGGAAAGCAAGCCGCATACACACAAACAAAGACACACAAAACACACACATACAAGGAGGCCTCTCCAGCTTTGAAAATGCCAGCTAGTGAAAGGGCTCCACTTAATGATGCCATTCGGGTCTCTTCCCAGCTGTCCGTGGGAGAGGATAATTGGAGGCCTCTTGCAAGGAGTGGGATGTGTGTGTGTGTTTGTGTGTGTGGGTTCCCCGTTGTGCGGGGAGCGCTGGGGGACGAATAACAGGACGGGGAGCGTTGCGGTCTCAGCTACTCGTTCCTTTCAGATTGGCTTGAAAAATAAAAATAAAAAAACCTCACGGCTAGGGTCTGCGGCTAATCCCGAAATCGCAGCCAGATGGATTGAGGGTTTGAAAAGGAGACCACTCAGTCCTCCTTCTCCTCGTTCCCCCTCCTCCCTTCTAGCACTGATGATGTCACCTAGTCAGGTCATGAGACGTCTGCAAGGAAACCACCCAGCTCAGAGAGCACCCAGGACCCCACAGTCCCTCCTCCTCCTCCTCCTCCTCCTCCTCCTCCTCCTCCTCGCTCATCTCCTGTCCTCGTTGCTTCTTCTGCAGGCAGAGGAGAACGCGGCTTTGGCCCCCCAGTTCGTCAAGCAGGTGTCAGCCCTGAAAGACAAGATGCACTTCAGCGCGGTGTTGTTCTCAGGCCACGTCCGTAAGGTGAGAGACCAGGGGGTGAGGCTGGCTGAGGGAATTCTGGGAGATGAAGTCCAACCCATCTTCAGGTTGCCAAGTCTGAGACAGAGACGGAGACACGATGGATGGAGAGAGCCGGAAATAATATATGGATAGAGAAATAGGTAGAGAAAGATGATAGATAGATAGATAGATAGATAGATAGATAGATAGATAGATAGATAGATAGATAGATAGATAGATAGATAGATGATGGATGGATGGATGGATGGATGGATGGATGGATGGATGGATGGACGGACGGACGGATAGAGATAGATACACAGAGAGACAGAGAGAAAGAGAGAGGGAGGGAGCAAGAGAGAAAGTAACACAGAGAGAGAGAGACAGACAGAAAGAGAGAGAGAGAAAGAGAGAGAAAAAGAAAAAGTCAGAGAGAGAGAGAAGAGGGAGAGAGAGAAAGAGGGAGAGAGAGAGGAAGAGAGACAGACAGGCAGACAAACAGACGAAGGGAGTGAAAGAGAGAGACACAGAGAGAGAGAAATTTAGAGGGAGAGAGACAGAGAGAGACAGACACAGAGAGAAAGAGACCAAGATAGAGAGATAGAGAAAGAGAGAGACAGAGACAGAGCAAGAAAGAGAGAGAGAGACAGAGACAGAGATAGAGGAAGAAAGAGAGGGAGAGAGAGAGAATGAGGGAGAGAAAGAAAGAGGGTTAGGGTTAGGTCTCTATGATACCACCTCCAGCAGGTGCCAGTTAGAAAAGTGTGACGTTCACAGGTGGGGCATTACTATCCCATAATATCTGGGAAGTGCCAGGTTAAAGAAGGCCGCTCTATCCCTGGAGGTCTCTATGATACCATCTCCAGCAGGTACCAGTTAGAAGCGTGACGATCATAGGTGTGACGTTGCCATCCCATAATATCTGGGAACTGCCAGGTTGAAGAAGACCGCTCTATCCCCGAGGTCTCTATGATACCACCCCCAGCAGGTGCCAGTTAGAAGTGTGACGTTCACAGGTGGGGCGTTACCATCCCATAATATCAGGGAAATGCCAGGTTGAAGAAGGCCGCTCTATCCCCGGAGGTCTCTATGATACCATCCCCAGCAGGTGCCAGTTAGAAGCGTGACGTTCACAGATGGGACGTTGCCATCCCATAATATCAGGGAAGTACCAGGTTGAAGAAGGCCGCTCTATCCCTGGAGGTCTCTATGATACCACCCCCAGCAGGTGCCAGTTAGAAACATGCCATCCACAGGTGTGGCATTGCCATCCCCTAACATCTGGAAGGTGCCAAGTTAGAGACGGCTGCTCTATCCCTGGAAGTCTCTATGATACTATCCCCAGCGTGCACCAATCAGAAGCAGGGCCTCCACAGGTTGGCATTTGCCAGGTCCATCAGCCAGTTCGAGAAGACCGCTCTATGCCCGGAGGTCTCTATGATACCACCTCTAGCAGTTGCCAATTAGAATCATGGCCTCCACAGACGTTGCCTGGCCAAGTCCCTCAACATCCGGAAGGTGCCAGTTAGAGAAGGCCGCTCTGTCCCTGGAAGTCTCTATGACAACACCTCCAACATACGCCAGTTAGAAGCATGGCCGCTACAGGTGTGGCGTTGCCAGGTCCTTTCAGCCAGTTCGAGAAGGCCGCTCTATCCCTGGAGGTATCTATGATACTACCTCAGCGTGCACCAATTAGAAGCATGGCCTCCACACAGGTGTGGCGCTGCCAGGTCCTTCAGCCAGCTCGAGAAGACCGCTCTATCCCTGGAGGTCTCTATGATACTACCTCAGCGTGCACCAATTAGAAGCATGGCCTCCACAGGTGTGGCGTTGCCAGGTCCTTTCAGCCAGTTCAAGAAGGCCGCTCTATCCCTGGAGGTCTCTATGATACTACCTCAGCGTGCACCAATTAGAAGCATGGCCTCCACAGGTGTGGCGTCGCCAGGCCCTTTCAGCCAGTTCAAGATGACCTCTCTATCCCTGGAGGTCTCTATGATCCTATCCCCAATTAGAAGCATGGCCTCCACAGATGTGGCGTCGCCAGGCCCTTTCAGCCAGTTCGAGAAGACCGCTCTATCCCTGGAGGTCTCTATGATACTACCTCAGCGTGCACCAATTAGAAGCATGGCCTCCACAGGTGTGGCATTGCCAGGTCTTTTCAGCCAGTTCGAGAAGACCGCTCTATCCCTGGAGGTCTCTATGATATTACCTCAGCGTGCACCAATTAGAAGCATGGCCTCCACAGGTGTGGCGCTGCCAGGTCCTTCAGCCAGCTCGAGAAGACCGCTCTATCCCTGGAGGTCTCTATGATACTACCTCAGCGTGCACCAATTAGCATGGCTTCCACAGGTGTGGCACTGCCAGGTCTTTTCAGCCAGCTCGAGAAGACCGCTCTATCCCTGGAGGTCTCTATGATACTACCTCAGCGTGCACCAATTAGAAGCATGGCCTCCACAGTTGTGGCGTTGCCAGGTCCTTTCAGCCAGTTCAAGAAGGCTGCTCTATCCCTGGAGGTCTCTATGATACTACCTCAGCGTGCACCATATGGCCTCCACAGACGTGGCGTTGCCAGGTCCTTCAGCCAGTTCGAGAAGGCCGCTCTATCCCTGGAGGTCTCTATGATACTATCCCCAAATTAGAAGCATGGCTTCCACAGGTGTGGCGTTGCCAGGTCCTTCAGCCAGTTCGAGAAGACCGCTCTATCCCTGGAAGTCTCTATGATACTATCCCCAATTAGAAGCAGGGCCTCCACAGATGTGGCGTTGCCAGGTCCTTCCAGCCAGTTTGAGAAGGCCGCTCTAGCCCTGGAGGCCTCTATGGTAGCACCCCCACCACGCCAGCTAATAGCCCGAAGCTGGCTCAGTTCTAAGCCGGAAGCCTCCTACGAGATGCCGCCTGGCTCCCCCCTGTAGACCTCTGGGGCCGAAAGGGGTGGGCCGCCCCCGTTATTTCTGGATCTGGGAGTGGGCATGTCTTCTTCTCGAGGGGGGGGCCTTTCGTGACCTTCTCCCCCTACCGCCGTAGGTCAACCGTTGCAACAAGCGGACGGATCGAGCCCTCCTGATCACCGACCAGCACCTCTACAAGCTGGACCCCCGGAAGCAATACCGGGTGAAGAAAGCCATTGCACTGAGCAAGGTAAGGAGGGTGGGGGGGCTCTCCTGATTTTTTGGGGGAGGGGGTCTGCATTAGAGCAGAAGGAGCTGCAGAGAGGATGCAGGCCGAGGAAGCCCACTTCCCAGCTTTTACGGATTGGACGGATGACGTTCCCTAGTTGGGTCATGAAACGTCTGCAAGGGGACCAGTCAGCTCAGAGAGCACCTGGGACCCCACGGTGCTTTTCTCCTCTTCCTTCCTCTCCTCCTCCTCTCCTCCTCCTTCTCCTCCTCCTTCTCCTCCTCCTCCTCCTCCTCCCTTCTAGCTCTGATGATGTTCCCTAGTTGGGTCATGAAACGTCTGCAAGGAAACCACCCAGCTCAGAGGGCACCATAGAGTCTACAGTCCTTCCTCCTCCTCCTCCTTCCTCCTCCTTCTCTCTCTCTCTCTCTCTCTCTCTTTCTTTCCCTTTCTCTCCAAACTTTCCTTCCTTCTAGCACTGATGCTATTACTTAGTTGGGTCATGAAACGTGTGCAAGAAAACCACCCAACTCAGAGAGCACCAAGGACTCCACAGTCCTTCCATCTCCTCCTCCTCCTCCTCCTCCTCTCTCTCTCTCTCTCTCTCTCTCCCCTCTCTCTCTTTCTTTCCCTTTCTCTCCAAACTTTCCTTCCTTCTAGCACTGATGAGATTACCTAGTTGGGTCATGAAACGTCTGCAGGAAAACCACCAAACTCAGAGAGCCCCAAGGACCCCACAGTTCTCCTCCTCCTCCTCCTCCTTCTCTCTCTCTCTCTCTCTCTCTCTCTCTCTCTCTCTCTCTCTCTCTCT